CCAACTTGCACCCATATATATAGTAACAGCATATTTTCCGTAAGTATTAATATGTTTGTAATGCACACTTCTTTGGATGACGAGAAATGTTTAGCATCTTCTTCCTTTCACTCTGTGTTTACTGACTGGGTAAAGTCTGTAGTATACCTGGTGTACTCGTATATCTTCTGGTATTTAATTCAATAAGATTGATATACCATTAAAACAACACATTTGGAGATAATGGTTTGAAACACATTTGGCCGTAACATGGAGTAAAATATCTTTGTTTTTACAATAATAAGTAATTATGTTTTAAATGGACTATTACTTTGATTGGATACACTCATGTTCGACGTCGTCACGTGTATCAGTTTTTTAATCAGTTGTGTTGATTTCAGAAACTCCGTTCATGAAAAACGCCAGATCAGTAACAACAGAGGCAACTTAAAACATGGCCAAGTTAAAACATGTTTCGTGTTCTTTTATCTTGAAACAATCAGCTCAAAGAAACGTACTGTCCTGCGTTAGTCGAAATCAGGGCAAGTCTCCCTTTCCTCGGGCGAGGACTAACAAAACATCACTTACGGTGATAAGGCGCCACGTTCCTAACAAGCATCGCCACGTTACCTTACCCCAAAAATTATAGCTGTTGCCACTCGTTCCGTATCTAGTGTTTCAAACTTCTTGAATGGTGAATAAGATTTCGCTCAGACAGAAGCAGTCATGCGAAATCTTCTCAATTGTCCAATTTGAAATCAATGAATGGAAAGTGGAATTATTGAAAATAACATCGATAAAAGCATCCTTTCTTCTTCTGATAGTTATGCATTACAAATGTGTCTGTAAAGCACATTTTCTGTAAGTATTAATGTGTTTGTAATGCACATTTCCCGTAAGTATTAATGTGCTTGTAAAGCACATTTTCCGTAAGTATTAATGTGTTTGTAATGCACATTTTTCTTAAGTATTAATGTGTTTGTAAAGCACATTTTCTGTAAGTATTAATGTGTTTGTAATGCACATTTTCCGTAAGTATTAATGTGCTTGTAAAAATACTTACGGAAAATGTGCTTTACAAACA